GGCCTAACTGAAGCATGACTCACCTGAGCGGCGAGCGGCGTTTTTGCGAAAATCGTTTTTGCGCCGAGCCGTGCACGGCGAAAAGTCGATACGTGTGAACGAGGCCTAAACTTGCCTAATGTCTGATCAAATGAATGCATGCAAGAAATGTTTACTTCTGACACTAACAGATCGAGATATTTCAAAACATTTAGTAGAAACTATAATAATGCCTTGGCTATGATAAGTTCAAGTAGTAAGATTATACCAATGAATCCGTACTTTGAAAACTTTGGGACAGGTATTAAGAGAAACTCCACTGAACAACGCAAGAACGTTCTGATGCGGGTCATATACTGTGACTGACAGACAACTCTTTAAAATATAAAGGCTGCAAGGGAAAAACCAACATAGTCAAAAATATAAATTTTTACAGAAAAGTAAAAACTAAGTTTGAAACCTAATGGAATTTGAACCTGGCTTTGTTTTATTATTTTAATAACTCAAATATATTTATAAACTAATCCTGTATATGTTTAGTAATTTACACTGTTTATTACTACTCTTGTATATGACTATAATTAATTATATTAGATAAATTACATGACTCAGTTGGATTTTCCCCTGCATTGGAAAATCTGCTAATGAAGAATAACACAGATTTCGAATGTAGTTTTATATATCAATGATTAATACAGCTTATTTTTACATAAAATAATCTAAATAAATGTAATCTTTATTGTGTGTTGACTGAAATCATCTTGAATCATTATTAAATCGTCATTGAAATCATATTACTCTTCTTCATTTTATTGGGAAGGCTAAAAACAAACGCCAGCCAATTATACTCTGACCAAACACATTACTTAGCTGTTTATATATTGCTTAAAAATCTTTTCAATTACTATCTTTAGTTTTGACTAAAGTTCACTCCCGACACAGTTTTTTTATTGTTTAAGTTGCTCAAAAGTAGTTTAAACAATAAAATAAAACTGTCGAGAGGGCTTAGGTAATTTGAATATTTCTGGTTAAATTATCAAAGTTATATTGTCTTTAATGATAAATTTAATTTGTCACAAATATAACATCATCATAATCTCAAATAATTACCTTTAATAATACATTTCGTAGTCAACAATACTTTAAGTATTGTACAACTCTAACATTCTCATCACTATCATTGTAATTTGCACAATGAAGCACGTCATCGATGACTGTTGTCATTATTCAAAACCTATTTAAAAGCATTAACTAGCGTGTAAGCCTTACTCAACAAAACTGAATAAGTGTACACTGAGCAAGGGCTTTAGGCAAACTAGTTGAATTTGCCGTAAGACGGCACTATAAGCAGTTTGCTTGACTCTGTTGGGTTTTCCCCTGTTTCGCATTGACTGTGTTGTTTCTTCCCCGGCATACCGAAAATAAAACAGTCAATAACTCTTGACTCTGTTGTTCCCTAAGATACTATGTCACTATAAATTATGGGCCCGGACGAGTCCATTGCTATTATTATCTCATCCTACAAAAATTTTGACTATGTTGGTTTTTCCCTTGCAGCCTTCATATGTTAACCAACTTTCAATGGTGTTGCTGCTTTAAAAAAAGCCTATTCAAAGCAGATTATGACTGTCCAGTTGGTAACCCAGAGTTTGTAGGTAAAAAATGGAGCACATGAAATGGTTGATATCATCCCACTTTTCAGGATTCTCTACGGAGAAAAATTTGTTTGATTAGGGGAATGTCTCAAATCAAAGAAATAAAATGACCCAAATTAAATTACTTAATACAGGTTATCAGTAAGACAACAGTTTTATTCAATTCTCAATGCTGCAAAAACTTTGTTGCAAAATGTTCACTTGAATTGAAGCAGATAGTTTAGCATTCATTAGACATTATCAGTTAAAACTGAGAGCAGAAATAATTTAGGTGAGCCTTGACGACGCAAATAGAGATATTTAAAATTAGTTTCTAACAAGTGTTTAAACAACTCTAAGATGTAACTAGAATTACTCAAATTTAAGCGTAACGTATTCCTCAGCGTTATGTTTCATACTATGCGGCTCATTGACTCACTACTATTAGAAACATCTTACTTAATAATTTAAAAGAGGGATTAAGTGTGTTTGAACATTAAACAATCCTACTTTGACCAGTTCTCATTGCATATCACAGTATTTTGTATATGTTAAAATTAGCTGTTTTCAGTTTTCATAAATGCAAAAAAACTATGGTTCTGCACCCTGTTGGTAAATCTTATAACTTTTAATGCTTTTGCATAATTATTATAGAACCAACTTTTTTAGTTGAAACAGCTGACTAAATTCATTAATTCCCTTTAAATATGAATACTCATTAGGTTAACATGGGAAACTACAAGCCACTGGGGCGGAGCCCGAAAGGATTTTTGAGATAAGAATATGCCTACATGTTAATCGGGAATGTGAGCAACCATCATGCCCAATTTCAGCACAATCCGTCCAGTAGTTTATGCGTGATTGAACTTCAAACAAACACACAAACTTTCACATTTATAATATCAGTAAGAAGTAAGATATATAAATATATATATATATATATATATATATATGAATTTGAACGGATGGTATTTTTGGCCTCTAGGGACCTCAAAATGAAAAATTAAATCAGTCCCGGGTCCAGGTCTTACCATGAGTACTACGGTAATAGCTTATTCCCTATACGGGAAATTCGCTATAAGCTATGGCTTAAAAAACCAAAACACAACATTTATGAATCACCAAATTGGATGAATAACCCATGTCCAAATACAAAGATGTGTGACAGAATACAAAACCACAGCATCAATAACCACCACCACCACAACACCACAACCACAGACGTTGGTGTTGTTACTGTCCTCTTTCCATACTGCAGAAGGTGTGGCCAGTGACAGCAATGGATGTAAAAGACTCTTCATAGTTTGTCTGTCACAACATCATAACAACTAATTTTTACTTTCTCCCCCAATACATAGTATATGGATAAACTCAGAGAAAGTATTGTTTTTGTCAAAATGTTTGAGTTTTTTGAGTGTGAGTGTGTGTGTATGTGGATGTGTTTAGAGCTACAGACAAGACCTGTGGTCTGATTTTAATGAAATTTGGTATATGGGTACTAATTCATAGTATCTCTAGGCATTTTTCATTACTTGGAATTCTTGGAAATAATTTTGGGTTTTAATAGGGATTTTTCCATAAAGTAACAGAAAAATTAGATTTTTACATACGGGTTCTAATTATCTGGATCAAAATTTGGAATTTAAGGCCTCTTAACTCTAAAAAATATTGTACCCACATTGCTTTAAAAATTATTGATCAAAATTTATTTTAACTTTTTTTATTTTTCCCATAAAATATCATAGGTTAGTTACTCCCACTGCTTATGATAAGGGTTGATAACAAGCTAATGGTAGAAAGTATGTGTAATCAATCCAAAATTAGCGATATTAGTCCACATAAAAGGACTATTGAGAAAGTAAGGAACATTTGTCTGACGCCGATAGTCATGAGCTGGTCTGATGCTTTTTAGCACAGATGTGTTCGCCTACTTAATGAATGTCCAGCCGTCCTGTGGAGGAGTCATTGTGCTGTCGCAATAAGTCTAAAATGTGTGCTGCAACTGAAAAGTACACCAGTTGTGAGGTGTGGTCTGTAATACGGTTTTTGTTGGCCATACACTTAAATTAACACGTTCGTTGCAAGAATCCCTTTGGCGGGATGGTAGAAAAATGTGTCGCAGCCTCGGCGCGCTAGTGAATCAGTGAACGCAATAGCATTTAAATATTTCAGTCTTGACAGCGGCAAAACAGCTCTGGTGATGGTGCTGTGTTACCCCCAGAGTGGACGTAGTTTACTGAAAAAACTCACATATAGCAGCACTGCCTGGATCCGTAGCCAGTGTCTTTATAATGTGGCTCGAAGAGAGAAAATGCCCAAAAACGGGACAAAAAGTGTTGCCAGACGGGATTTTACGGGATATTTTACTACCAACCTAAACCAAATTTAAGTATAGGACCAGCACAACATGCTGACCACCGATGATGTTGATCACCGATAAATGCGGAGGTCACAGTAGACCAACTTGTATAACACTGCACCGTGACTCCGTCCGGAGTCGTACGCACGCTATGCCAGTACTGCATGACTCTGATTGGAGTCGTCAGAAGCGAACATGTTAAAACCTATATCAATTTTTTGTCAACGGTGTGAGGTGTAAGGAAACAACATAGGCTGGTAAATGAAAATTCTGTGCGGAAATGGTGCATTCAGTTTCAAAATGGTTGAAATAGAGTTGATGTGCAAAGTTTTGATTTTGCCTGACATCACCCAACCTCATAGATCAAGTCACACACACGATCTCATTGAAGGGAAATGAGGGATTTCCCCTCAACCACCGACCCTACAGTCCATACATGGCTATGAGTGATTCTCATAATTTGTTTTGTGCATCAAAATTAGGATGAGGACATCCAATTGAGTCTAGTGATTGAGCTCGCAGGCAGCAGAATTCTACGACATAGGAATTTCAAAACGTATCCACCGGTCTCATAAATGCCTGAATTTGTTTCGGGGATATGTAGAATAGAAGTATTTTAGTTGCTCTTTCAATTGTATAAAGCCTAGTAAATATTTTTGGTACAAATTTTAATTTTATTTTTAAATGGACCTATCTTCTTTAGTATCCAAAAGTCAATGATATTAGCTAAATAAAGGTTGTGAAATAAACTTCCAAATAATCTTACGGTAGAACGCCCTTATATCCATCCATTTTAATTAGTTTCTGCTTGCCTTCCTTCCATAGGAATTATATGAGTATCATTTGCAATTAATTATATGATTATGTTTTAAACATCATAGGGAATTATGAGGAACTACAAATATGTTGTAGTAGCATAACATTTTTAAATTTGTTTATTAAATTATTTAGTAGTAGACTAGACACTATGTTAGCTATCCCCATCCAACATATGTGGTAAAGGCACCAGATCAAAGAAAGACAAGATAGCTTTGCTAAAACGTTTACTTTGTGATCAGATCAGTTAACTTCTGAACTTACTCTTTATCTGTTGGGCGAGGTGAGAGTATGGATGAGGGTTGAAGGATGAGGTGGGGGGGAAATTGAAGAACCTCCGTACTCTAGGAGAGACTACTATTAGATTCTGACCCAAGCTGATGACACTGGACGACAACCAATACAGCGACACTGCCTGCACAGATACATTACATTGTAAGTACTGAGTGGGCAATATCTAATTGGATACTGTAATTATATTTCTTCAAAAATACCACACTTAAAAAGAACATGGTCGAAGAAGTAGTTATGACTAAGGAAAGATTTATATGTCATTCTTATGATAAGGTTTTAAGTTTTAAGTTTTAGAATAGAAATGAAAGTGCTTAAATTGAGCAGCAACAGAACTCACTGATGTAAATTACTGATTACTGTACCGGTACTGTTAAATATGCAGACCTAAAACCATTAGATAAAACTGAAAGCGAAAGGACAACTTAATGTAAGCTATAGCATCTTTTAAGCGCCATAAAGTCTTACATGTACTGGCGCAATTGCCATCTGTCAAGTGAACCTTATGACCTTGTAAGGCGACCGGTTTTGATATCTACGGGATCATCTTCAGGCAAATGTTGTCATCTTTATTTCGTTCTTACAAAAACGTAGATTTTTTTAAACACAGAGACATTTTTACGATACTCTTAAGTATGTATGTGCACGAACCTGGACCTTTATGTGTGGTTTTTTAAGAGGTTGGTCTACTCATCTCCAGGTGAAAATAAAAATAAAATTCACAAGCGGATAAACAGATGTGCTAATTAGAGAGACGTTGTCTGTTTAAGCTAATGTTGGTGCCACACACAAAAAAAATCAGGTAGTAATTGCCATCAAGGCATAGTTAATAGTTGCCATCAAGGCAACTATTAAAAGTTAAAGAACTGTTATTTATGTTTAGCTTTAGTATTGTGGGTTTTAAAATTAACCGTTAGTTTTTTTTTTTTTTTGTGTAAATAACCAAAATTAACTCTTTCAGATGTGTTAATAATTATTTTAGTGAGGAAAGATCACGTAGCTGAGTTATTTTCATTAGCATGTGTGGACTACAATCAACTGGTAAACTTTACTTAAGTTAGTTTTGGGTTATCGGTAAAGATATTGACGGCATTTGAGGTGTAGTATCTACATCATTTTAGAGGTTTTTCTATTCAAAGTATTTGTTTATGCTCAAAAAAATATTCTTGTAAGGAATTTCACAAGGATTCTAAAACTTACAATAAACCCCATTTAAAAATAATTTTTATTGCAGCTATTGCCATATTTTTTAACAAAATACATGTTACATTAAAGGAAATGGAACTTTAGCCGTTCCGGGTTTTTCAAGAGAATTTTTAAATTTAAGAATAACAAATCAAGGCAAAGAAACAATAGGTTTTTATATATAATTTTAAGGGGTTTTAATGTAAAAAGTTGTTTAAATATTTTTTTTAAGTTGTTTTTTAAGCTTATTTATATCAGCGCACTTTATCAGTGTCCCAGGCAAGCAAGAAGTTATACAACTTACCGATGGTACTGTTGCTGCGACAGGGATCATGAATACTGCGAAGCCACGGAAAAAGTTTGCAATATATCTACGAAGCCTAGTTTTCTCTCCCAGGTGCATCATGGATTGTATCTGTGCAGAGAAGACAGAAAGAAGTAAAACACTTTAAAAAACTGATCAAGTCAACAAGTAGAACTAGATATAAACTTTGTTAGTGACACCCAGAGCTATTGGGATGACAAAGCTGTCTGACACAAAGAGGTCTATGTACAACAGCATACCTCCCAAGGACAAGCTCAGTTTGATATGACTCATACCTCTATGATAGCCAGGATAGTGAGGCCAGAGCTATTGGGATGACAAAGCTGTCTGACACAAAGAGGTCTATGTACAACAGCATACCTCCCAAGGACAAGCTCAGTTTGATATGACTCATACCTCTATGATAGCCAGGATAATGAGGCCAGAGCTATTGGGATGGCAAATCTGTTTGACACAAAGAGGTCTATGTACAACAGCATACCTCCCAAGGACAAGCTCAGTTTGATATGACTCATACCTCTATGATAGCCAGGATAGTGAGGCCAGAGCTATTGGGATGACAAAGCTGTCTGACACAAAGAGGTCTATGTACAACAGCATACCTCCCAAGGACAAGCTCAGTTTGATATGACTCATACCTCTATGATAGCCAGGATAGTGAGGCCAGAGCTATTGGGATGACAAAGCTGTCTGACACAAAGAGGTCTATGTACAACAGCATACCTCCCAAGGACAAGCTCAGTTTGATATGACTCATACCTCTATGGTAGCCAGGATAATGAGGCCAGAGCTATTAGGATCCTGTATGATACAGCGAGGTCTGTACACCACAGCAGACCTTCCATGGACAAGCTCAGTTTGATATGACTCATACCTCTATGGTAGCCAGGATAATGAGGCCAGAGCTATTAGGCAGGGGTGCCCATCCCCCCCTAGACTCATGACGCACCCCCCCCCCCAAATTGAGCAACAGCCCCCCCCCCCTCCCACCATAAATGATGTACACAACAAATGAGAAACATTATTTCCCCACCCAGCACTATTTGTAAAACTATAAAAGAAGTTTTATAATTTTTTTTAGATATTTAAAATTCAAACCAATCTATATAAATAAAGTTATAGTTTTCTCTGTACATTGCTCAGAATTATACATATTTTGGGTTATTTTTACGTTTTATACATTGAAGAAGTTGAAACATGTCTTATCTCAAATTATGTCCGTCTGTCACGGCCCAGAAGGCATTTTACGCAGCCTACTCTAAAGATAACTAGAGTACTGATTATGATTATAATGGTTTAATTGTATCCACAGGATTGGTGAGAGTGTCCTTATAGCCATTAAAATATGGCCTCATTATTTTTTAAATAAAATAACGGACGATCAAAAACCCAATTTTGTGTGATTTTTCTAGTTTATTTTCTCCATGTTTACTACATACGTCATTTATGAAATACTAATAATCTGTTAAGAGAAGACGTCATATATGAAATTACGAACAGCTGTTTTGATAAAGATTCCTTTTTCTAGCTGTCACTGATATGTTTACATAAATGTTGTTTACGAATACTGTGTAGGCCCTAACCATTTCCGATCACGTTTATAAGCAAAACCAAAACCAAGTGAGATTAATAACCGTGTGGCTCTGGCTTACATAACGGGTTTGATTTATCACGGGTACTAAATATATAACTGTAAATTAAATTAAATAACTAGCCATCATCCAGGTCGGGAACTGGAGATTCTGTGTGTATCAAGTTCTACTTGAATTTTGATTACCGGGAAAAGACCGTGAATCAGTGTTGTACAGGACTGGAAAACTTATCTTTCTATATAAATAAAATTAGAGTTTTATAAGTCACCTCAATTTAAAGATTTGTTTATTGCCAGAATATCCATAGCGTTCGTAACCTCTTAACGAATTGTCAGCGTCTTTCTCTTGATGATATAACGATCCCCTCTCTCTCCCTTTAGAAACATCACAGCTCCTTTGATAAAAATGAAATGGAAACAACGCTTGCGCCAACAATCGTCTGCTCCGTTTTACACTTCTGTCTGCTGTGCGCTGTGTTACAACAGATTTCAGATACAACAGCTGGGGAATGATGACGATATAATGTTTAGTAAATTGTGATTGAGTGATTAGTAACCATGGTAACTTTAGTAAGGCTGTGGATTGGCCAATGAGTAGGCCTAAATATGGCGACTTGTTGAATTTGTGTATGAATTGAAGAGAAACCTATTAAAGAACAGAAGAACAAAGAAAAAGAATAACAAGATTGTTCTCGTTACATTCTTTTTTAAGAGTTGAATTTGAGTTGATTTGAGTTGTGTTGAATTTGTGTATGAATTGAAGAGAAACCTATTAAAGAACAGAAGAACAAAGAAAAAGAATAACAAGATTGTTCTCGTTACATTCTTTTTTAAGAGTGTTTTAGTTATCTCTAAATATAATTTTACACTTTTTTATCAGGCCTACTTACCTATCAATTCCTATGCTGCGATACAGCACCTCGGTAGCCTATATGTCCATCATGAGCAGTACCTTATAACACTTCCTAAAGGTCCCTTTAATATTTACGTTATTTATAGCAATGCAGTGTTTGGCTACTTATCAGTTGAGTTTGAGTTAGCTATAATTTTAAACGTTGCCGTTTGTACAACTGAACCAAGATAAATGATTTGAAAAATTTTAAAATAATAATGTTATTGCACAATAATAATGATTGTGCAATATTGAATTTCGTTTATAAGAATGCAAATCGTAACTTTAATGGCTGTTTACAGCGTTTTAATGGGTTTGTCATCATTCTGTTTTTATACTATGTTGGATTAACCATATTTTTCATTACTCACCCTTCCTATTAACTCAGGTAATCGAGTATCTACACAATAGTGTAAAGTATTGTAGATTGTAGCCTATGCTACTTGATTGTATTTTAACTAGCTTTATGTCAACAAAGCGTTCTGGGCTAAGTCGCGGTGTAGCTGGACGTGTCTGTACCATGCGTTATCTTTTATCTATCACAGCAGTTGAGCCATCCCGTGCGCTCCCTCTTAGATCTCACGTCTTGCTAATCTTGAATAATAACTTTCTACATGAATCCTAAACTATCCTAAAATCCTATTTTAACTAATTGAATTCAATAATATAACTATTGTCATTAATTAATCCACTTTCTATCTGGCGACTTCGTAATATATTTTGGATTGTCGTCACGTTGAACACTGTTGAAATTAGCTTTAGCCACCCCCCCCCCCATTTGAATTTTTTGAGCCCCCCCCCCAAGAATTTCAATGACGCAATCTGCGTCACAGCCCCCCCTTGTGGGCACCCCTGTATTAGGATCCTGTATGATACAGCAAGGTCTGTACACCACAGCAGACCTTCCATGGACAAGCTCAGTTTGATATGACTCATACCTCTACAATACCTCTCCAATAGCAAGGTTAGTGAGTCCCATAGCTATTGGGATCCTGTATGATACAGCAAGGTCTGTACACCACAGCAGACCTTCCATGGACAAGCTCAGTTTGATGTGACACATACCTCTACAATACCTCTCCAATAGCAAGGTTAGTGAGTCCCATAGCTATTGGGATCCTGTATGATACAGCAAGGTCTGTACACCACAGCAGACCTTCCATGGACAAGCTCAGTTTGATATGACTCATACCTCTACAATACCTCTCCAATAGCAAGGTTAGTGAGTCCCATAGCTATTGGGATCCTGTATGATACAGCAAGGTCTGTACACCACAGCAGACCTTCCATGGACAAGCTCAGTTTGATATGACTCATACCTCTACAATACCTCTCCAATAGCAAGGTTAGTGAGTCCCATAGCTATTGGGATCCTGTATGATACAGCAAGGTCTGTACACCACAGCAGACCTTCCATGGACAAGCTCAGTTTGATGTGACACATACCTCTACAATACCTCTCCAATAGCAAGGTTAGTGAGTCCCATAGCTATTGGGATCCTGTATGATACAGTGAGGTCTGTACACCACAGCAGATCTCCCATGGACAAGCTCAGTTTGATGTGACACATACCTCTACAATACCTCTCCAATAGCAAGGTTAGTGAGTCCCATAGCTATTGGGATCCTGAGTATGCAGTGTTGGGAAGTAGCGCGCTACAAGTAGCGACGCTACAGTAGCGCGCTACTTTTTTTGTAGCGTTAGCTGTAGCTACGCTACTTTTAAGATTTTGTAGCTTTAGTAGCTAGCTACATTTTTAAAGTAGTTGTAGCGGAATTTTAGCTACTTTTCTCGCTACATTAACATTGTTTGAGATAGTGATTTTTATCATAACCTCAACCTTACGTGAAACCTTTCAAACTTAGATTTAAAAAAAAATTAGGCTGGTTTCATACAGCTGGTTGCAGCCGTTTCATTCGACCTATACAACGTTGTGTGGACATGGAGGCCATTAAATGAGTGTTATCCACATTTTTGCCTCTCATTTCCTTAATTTACTACTCTATGATTACTGTCAGATGAAATAAAATCGCTAGATGCAGACGACTTTTAAACGTTACCAGTGATAAGAGAAGCTATTGAGTGCTTGCAAGTGATTGACAGGGAAATTAGTAATCAATTTAGTTTCTTTATTATATCGATAGTGTTTCAACTTGGGTTTTAATGGAAACCAACACTAAACCTTAAAACAATGAGAAAGCTGGTCTATCAACCTTTGCTTCAGCTGTTGATTGTGGTTCATCACCACGAATACTAAGTTCCAAGTTCAATTATTATGAATATATCTGTTTAGTCCTTTGCAAGAACAAGCCTACTATAGCCAACTTGTTACACAGCCAAGTAGGCCTACATGTTATTTTTACTTTACAAATTTCAACATGTTTAAATCAAAAGCCGATTTCAGGATAACTTAAGTTGCTGAATACTGTTTTCTGTACCAACTAGGTTGAAGCACAATTTTTTCCCTATGCATAATGACAATAAAGGACGATTTCTTGACATTGAAAAGTGTTATTCATAGAACAAGTAACTTATCATTATGGGTAAAAGTTATAGCAATGTCGTTTTTAACATTAAAAGTAAAGAAAGGCAATAAACTCCAATTTCAGTAGGCTAGGCTCTGTAACAGAAACAAGTATTTTTAAATAATCTTTTTACAGTTTTATTGGTCTTAATCGTTTATATAAGACATCTATAAATGAATCTATATTAAAGAAATAAAATGAGCTTTTAAAATATAGTTTGGTTGTATGTCCTTTGAATTTACATATAAGATGCTTAAAAATAATGCAATATTTAAAAATAAGTAACAAATATGATGGGAAACCCAACTATTTGGTTCTGTTGTTGTAATGTTAGGTATATAATTCCAACAAATTAAATACTATCTAGGAATAATTTGTTTTCCAAGTAATGTTATAACAAACTAAGATACCATCATTAACTATACCTATAGGTATATATAGTCAATGATACAATACTGACATTTTTTGTTTAAATGTTTGTTCAATAAAAATGTAGTTGCAATTAATTTTGAATTTACCTAATCTTCGTGGAATAAAAAGTAACGTCTTTGGAAAAGTAGCTAAAATTGTAGCTATAGCTACATTTCATTGTAGCTATAGTTGTAGCTAGCTACTTTTTCGGAACTGTAGCTGTAGCTGTAGCTAAGCTACTTTTTTGGAAATGTAGCAGTAGTTGTAGCTAGCTACATTTTAAAAGTAGCTTCCCCAACACTGCCTGTATGATACAGTGAGGTCTGTACACCACAGCAGATCTCCCATGGACAAGCTCAGTTTGATGTGACACATACCTCTACAATACCTCTCCAATAGCAAGGTTAGTGAGTCCCAGAGCTATTGGGATCCTGTATGATACAGTGAGGTCTGTACACCACAGCAGATCTCCCATGGACAAGCTCAGTTTGATGTGACTCATAACTCTACAATACCTCTCCAATAGCAAGGTTAGTGAGTCCCATAGCTATTGGGATCCTGTATGATACAGTGAGGTCTGTACACCACAGCAGATCTCCCATGGACAAGCTCAGTTTGATGTGACTCATACCTCTACAATACCTCTCCAATAGCAAGGTTAGTGAGTCCCATAGCTATTAGAATCCTGTATGATACAGTGAGGTATGTACACCACAGCAGATCTCCCATGGACAAGCTCAGTTTGATGTGACTCATACCTCTACAATACCTCTCCAATAGCAAGGTTAGTGAGTCCCATAGCTATTAGAATCCTGTATGATACAGTGAGGTATGTACACCACAGCAGATCTCCCATGGACAAGCTCAGTTTGATGTGACTCATAACTCTACAATACCTCTCCAATAGCAAGGTTAGTGAGTCCCATAGCTATTGGGATCCTGTATGATACAGTGAGGTCTGTACACCACAGAGGATCTCCCATGGACAAGCTCAGTTTGATGTGACTCATACCTCTACAATACCTCTCCAATAGCAAGGTTAGTGAGTCCCATAGCTATTAGAATCCTGTATGATACAGTGAGGTATGTACACCACAGCAGATCTCCCATGGACAAGCTCAGTTTGATGTGACACATACCTCTACAATACCTCTCCAATAGCAAGGTTAGTGAGTCCCATAGCTATTGGGATACTGTATGATACAGTGAGGTTTGTACACCACAGCAGATCTCCCATGGACAAGCTCAGTTTGATGTGACACATACCTCTACAATACCTCTCCAATAGCAAGGTTGGTGAGTCCCATAGCTATTGGGATCTTGTCTGATACAGTGAGGTCTGTACACCACAGCAGATCTCCCATGGACAAGCTCAGTTTGATGTGACACATACCTCTACAATACCTCTCCAATAGCAAGGTTAGTGAGTCCCATAGCTATTGGGATCCTGTATGATACAGTGAGGTCTGTACACCACAGCAGATCTCCCATGGACAAGCTCAGTTTGATGTGACTCATACCTCTACAATACCTCTCCAATAGCAAGGTTAGTGAGTCCCATAGCTATTGGGATCCTGTCTGATACAGTGAGGTATGTACACCACAGCAGATCTCCCATGGACAAGCTCAGTTTGATGTGACTCATAACTCTACAATACCTCTCCAATAGCAAGGTTAGTGAGTCCCATAGCTATTGGGATCCTGTCTGATACAGTGAGGTCTGTACACCACAGCAGATCTCCCATGGACAAGCTCAGTTCGATGTGACTCATAACTCTACAATACCTCTCCAATAGCAAGGTTAGTGAGTCCCATAGCTATTGGGATCCTGTATGATACAGTGAGGTCTGTACACCACAGCAGATCTCCCATGGACAAGCTCAGTTTGATGTGACTCATAACTCTACAATACCTCTCCAATAGCAAGGTTAGTGAGTCCCATAGCTATTGGGATCCTGTCTGATACAGTGAGGTCTGTACACCACAGCAGATCTCCCATGGACAAGCTCAGTTTGATGTGACTCATAACTCTACAATACCTCTCCAATAGCAAGGTTAGTGAGTCCCATAGCTATTGGGATCCTGTCTCATACAGTGAGGTCTGTACACCACAGCAGATCTCCCATGGACAAGCTCAGTTTGATGTGACACATACCTCTACAATACCTCTCCAATAGCAAGGTTAGTGAGTCCCATAGCTATTGGGATCCTGTCTGATACAGTGAGGTCTGTACACCACAGCAGATCTCCCATGGACAAGCTCAGTTTGATGTGACTCATACCTCTACAATACCTCTCCAATAGCAAGGTTAGTGAGTCCCATAGCTATTGGGATCCTGTATGATACAGTGAGGTTTGTACACCACAGCCGAACTCCCATGGACAAGCTCAGTTTGATGTGTTACATACCTCTATGATAGCCAGGTTAGTTAGGCCCAGAGCTATTGGGATGACAAAGCTGTCTGATACAGTTAGGTCTGTACACCACGGTAAACCTCCCATGGACAAGCTCAGTTTGATCAAGGCAGCAGCTGTAACAAACAACTCGATCAACCTCATAAACATGATATACAGGGTGTCCCGGAACTCTCTACCAATATTTATAGGGCATTGCTGTGAGAAACATACCTAAATATCATATTTAAATTGTCCGGAAGTCCTTAGTTACTCACACAGCTGCCGTTTTGTTTTTTTCAGTTATTAGTTTTTTTTCTAAGGAATGGTTAAACATATGAAATGGAAACTTTGCATTAACATTTATGACAACTAGCTACCAAAAAAAGCTACAAAAAAATATGAATATTTTTCAAATCGTAAAACAAAATGGCGGCCATTTAAAATTTGGTTTCTTAAATAACTCAAAAACCGTTGATTTTACAAAATCTTTACAAGAATAACTTTTTTAAGAGAATGGTTTTGTTTAAGGAAAGGCTCTAGGCCAGGATTTTAAATTTTAGAAAAAGGAGGATAGCAGCTAGCTTACCTTGAAAATGTGGGTAGGCTACATAGAACAAGTAGAAAACAATTTGCACACAATATTTCGTCCCCTAAGGGACTTTGTCAAGTGTAGAGAGAGTTTATAAATTACAAGATGGCTGCTGTCATGGCTGATGGCTGTTGTCAACTATGCAGGGTTGCCACATCTCATTAGTCTATTTACAACTATGTACACAACTTTATATATACACACACATATAATATTTTATATACAAACTAGGCCTATTATGTATTTAGCTAGCTGCTGGGACAGGTTTATCTTAGGTTAAGGTTGGGGGGAGTTCTGGAGTTGGTTATATACTGGAATGCCAGTTCCCACCTTCTTAACATGGAAGGGTTGCATTCATCCTTTGGAAGTGATTTTATTACTTTAGTTGTGAACAGTGGCGTAGCCAGGATTCAGCTTTGGGGGGGGGCCCTATCCGGGGGGTCTGGGGGGATACCCCCCAGGGGGAAGGGGGGTCCGGGGTTATAAATTTTTGTATTTTATGGTGTAAAATTGCAGTTTCTAACACCTCTGGAGGCTCTAAAGTAGAGAATAATCTAGGTGTAATACCACTAAAAATTAGCTTTTACTGCTCTGAAATGAAAAAAAAATTCCCAAACTACTATTTATCTGTGTGATATAATTTTAATAAAATGAATCAAGCTAATAAAACTACACTCGATTTATAGAATAAAGAATATGGCACTTATAAGCCAATACTATATTGCACCATTGTGAGTATTTTCTCTTGAATTATTCTCCCAAGTGGAGGTGTTTAGGGATAATCTAAGTAAAACTACGACGAAAAACGAATTTAAACTATAAAATAATCAAATGTATTTCTCATTAATGTTTTCATGACAAGGAACAAAATTGGACAACAAAACAGACAGCTGATAGTAAAGACAACATTCATATCATCTGTATGACTATCTTACTAATATTATAAATCTGAAAGTTTGTGAGTTTGTGTGTATGTTTGTGTGTATGTTTGTGTGTGTGTGTGTTGCTCAATCACGCATAAACTACTGGACGGATTGGGCTGAAATTTGGCATGATGATAGCTCACATTCCCGATTAACATTAAAGCATATTCTTATCTCAAAAACCCTTTCGGGCTCCGCCCCAGTGGCTCTGTAGTTCCCCATGTTAATCTTATGATTTTTCATATTTAAAAGGAATTAATGAATCTTAACAGCTGTTTCAATTAAACAAGTTGGTTCTGTTCTATGATGTTCAATAGCATAAAAGTTACAAGGATTACCAACAGGTTGCAGCACTATTATTTTTTTTTAAATTTATGACAACAGCTAATTTCCAACCAAAAGGTGAGTGAGCGTAGCGAACGAACTTCAACCTGGAGGCAAGTTAGCGTAGCGAACGAGCTAACCTGAAGGCAAGTGAGCGCAGCAAACGAGCTCCAACCTAAAGGTGAGTGAGCGTAGCGAACGAACTTCAACCAGGACGTGAATGAGCCATGCGAATACTTATGAAGTTAAACGGGGCGAAGCCCGCGGGTACAGCTAGTTACAAATAAATAGAAAAGGCAGGCATTTTCAACACTTTCCCTTATTTGCATAGTCCAAGATTTTCTCGCAGAACTTGAAGTCTTGGTCGAGTTATAGGCTTCGTCAGTATATCTGCTAGTTGATATTCTGAACCGATGTGCTTTACAGTCAGCATACCTATATTTATCCTGTCTCGAATGAACAGGTACTTCCGCTGAATATGTTTTGTACGAAAGTGAAACTCGGGGTTTTCACAGAGTTTTCTTGCTGATTCGTTGTCAACTTTCAGAATAGGAACAGCAGACAATCCTATAAGTTCTTTGAACAAACGAGCAATCCAGATTGTTTCTTTTGAACCAAGATTAGCTGCAATGATTTCAGCTTCACAAGTTGAGTCCGAAACTAACTCCTGACGACGACTAAGCCAAGTGATAGCTGCACCTGCGTATTTAATAACAACTCCACTTGTTGAACGCATTGTAGTTGGACAACCAGCAAAGTCCGCGTCACTATAGCACTCCAGTAGACGTGTTTTAGGTTTGGATTGGTACACTAGCTTCTGGTCCACAGTGCCGGTCAAATAGCGTATAACACGCTTTGCTCTTGTGACATCATCTTGTGTAGGATTTTCTAAGTGACGTGATAGAACACTTACACTAAATGCAATGTCAAAACGAGTACCACGAGCAACATAAAGTAGGGCTCCAACTGCCGATCTGTATGGAAAATCGGAGGCTTTCCCTGGTGTTTGAGCAGTGAGCTTCTCTATAGGAGTAAGTACTGGCTTGCATCCTTCCATGTTAAATCGAGAAATGATCTTCTTGATATACGCTGATTGGCAGACCAATATATCACCACCACTTTGAGAAATTTCGAGTCCGAGAAAGTATGACACTTCTTTAGCAACAATTTCAAATTGTGAACGAAGTTGCCCAATAAATAAGTCCATTTCAGTCTGACTAGTCGCTGCGACTAATCCGTCATCAACATAGAGTGCAACGATGATTTTTCCAGCAGGGGTAGGACAAATGTAGACGCAGGGATCTTCACGGCTCTGTCGAAATCCTAAGCCTTTCATGAAGTCGTCAAATCGTTTATTCCAGCATCGAGGTGCCTGTTTCAGGCCATATAAGCTGCGTTTGAGACAACAAACACGATTTGTCCCATCTGAATATCCTTCAGGCTGCTTCATAAAAATCTCTTCTTCAACGTCTCCGTACAAGAACGCAGTTGAGACGTCAAACTGCCGTAGAACCATCTTCTCAACAGCTGCGATGGACAATATTGATCGAACGACCTCCAGACGAGCAACCGGGCTGAAGGTTTCGGCATAATCAATACCAGGTCTTTGCGCACATCCTTTGAAGACCAATCTCGCTCGATATTTGTCAACACTTCCATCAGGATTGCGCTTTATTCGGTAGACCCACTTGTTGTTGATAGTCTTCTTTCCCGGAGGGAGTTCGGTCAATTCCCATGCACCGTGTTTATGCATGGACCCCATTTCTTTGTCCATTGCTGTTTTCCATTCAGCACTATCTTCTGAACGGATGGCTTCAGTGTAAGACTTAGGTTCATCGTCAACAAGAAGAACTTCGGCAAAGTTAGACGAGACGTAATCGTTTAGCCACTCGGGTTGCCTTCTTTCCCGAGTCGAGTGCCGAGTTGCAGGATCGTTGGATAACTCTCCATCTTCACTATCACTGCTACTTGACGGGTCCTCAGTCGGTATAGGCTCATCATTACCCTTCACTGGAGAACTTGGCTCGTCAATAGTCTCTTCAACTTCTTGCCAATCTTCTTTGACGTCATTGGTTTTCTCAATCTTGATGGGCCACTCAACTTTCTTGTCACAGTCTCCAACGATTTCTTGAAAAACGACGTCGCGAGAAACTACGATATCTCTTCTCTCTGGGACGTAGATTCGATATCGTTCATCGCCATCGTATCCAACCAGGTAACCAACCACAGCTTTCTTGTCCATTTTTCGCCTCCTCTGAACAGGAACATGGACGTAGCACTTTGAGCTGACCACTCGCAGATGTTTGATCCTCGGCTTTTGACCAAACCAGAGCTCAAAGGGTGATTTGTTGGCAACTGCTGACTTTCCCACTCGGTTCAAAACGTGGCCAGCAGTGATGACAAGTTCCGCCCAGATCGCTGCAGGAAATGTTACATTTGGATTGGCGTACTTGAAGGTCCGGGCCATTTCGACGATTGTTCTGTTCTCTCTCTCTACAGCACCATTTTGCTCGGGTGTATACGGCGCTGTCAGACGTTGGTTAACACCATATTCTCTGAGGATTTGACGAACTTCGGCGTTGTCAAACTCACCACCGTTGTCGCTGAGAAACTCTTTGACGTGATGACCAATTGTGCGTGCTTTAGACAACACTTCACGCAACGCTTCCTTCACAGCAGATTTTTCCCTTGCGACAAAACAGTATCGGTACCTTGAAAAGTGGTCTTTTATGACGATCAAGTATCGGCGACCTCCAAAGGATGGGTCAAACGGGCCGCAAACATCGCCGGATAACAACTCACCGGGGGCTGAGGGGCGTTCTCGTGTTCCAAATGGTAGACGGTGTGCCATTCCGAACTGACACGGTTCGCAGATCTCGTAGTTGGCTGGCACTTTGATACCCATTTCGGATTCGAGCTTCGATCGGACGTAGCGTTTATCCATGTGACCCCAGCGCTCATGATATAACTGCAGAATTCGATTGTCTTCTGCTGCATTAGCGCAAACCTCAGATGGTTGAACTGTGTGAAATGAGGCACGATACAAAGTTCCACCACAGTTTCGAGTACCTTTGAATACAGTTTTTTCGTTAATAGTGAACCGACACTCGGTATTAGTTGATTCAAACCTGCTATTAGGGTTTCGATCATGAGCTGCGAGAATGGACACTAAGTTCCGAGAAACGTCAGGAACATACCAGACATCGTTGAGTGTGAACGTTTCCAGTTTTCCATTTTCATAGTTCGCTACTTCAACGACTCCACTGCCAAGAACTTTTATAACTTCCTTTCCCGCCGC